AACATTAGCCTGCCGCCAAGTAACCAAATTATTAACCCATTGCTGTCACTAATTAGGCATACTAATTTTCTAGGAAGCTGGCGAAGGGTGGACGGACTGTGCTAATGAGATTAATTGCCCAAGATTTTGACGGAAAGAACAGGCGAGTTATTGAGATCGGAGGTTAATTGGCAACCTGTTATGGATTATTGAAATACTGGTGGGAGGACTTTTTTTCCAATTTGGGTCCACTTTAGAGTACTGTACATGGGATTTCGTCAACTTTAAGGCACTGCTGGAGGGGTTTTTCCACTATGGAGTACTTGCAGAGGAATTATGTCGACTTTAAATTACTATCAAGGGATTTTGTCCTCTCAGGAGTATTAGAGGTGTAATTTTGTCTTCTATGGGTTATTAACAAAGTTTTTGTCCGGTGAGAACGTGAAGCGATTGTTAGAAAGGTTTTGTCAGGTATGAGATGTCTGCAGGGACGTTATCCAGTATTTATCGGTGATGGGATTTCACCCTCATGGAAATTGCGTGGAGGAATTTCGGCCACTTTAGTACACTGGTGGTGGTGTTTTGTCTAGAATGAAACTGTCTGGTGGAATATTAAAGGAATTAATGTGTACAACGCATATAAATATGAACTGCGTCAATACGGTGGTGGTGATGGTGGAGGTAGTGGTGGTGGTGGTGGTGGTGGTTCCCATTGTATTACTTGCAAGTCCTGCAGGTTCCAGTACATGTAACCTACATCATACGTGACATGTCCAAACTTGGTCAAGGGGCTCATCAAACCCAGGAATCCACGAACTGGAAGTTGTGTATTCTGTGCCAATCTGATGATGCGAGGAACAACCCAGAATAAACTGATATCAGCATCTGTTGGAGACCATTCAAAAGAGAGCCAGGTTGCTTGATGGGTACTACGCTCAAGCGTAAAATTGACTACAAGAATGCATGAAAGAAAAACTTCTCATAGAGAAAGCTATATGGCACCGTACTTGCTACTCCAATGCAACTAACAAGGACCAGGTAAGGCATGTAGGAGACCGCATATCCCATCCATTATCAACTGGATCCTATTCGGCCGTGCACAGTGCCACTGGACAAGGACCGGTGCTTCTTCTGTCAGTAGGATGATGGTCAGAAATTTTTCAAAGTGAGGACTGAAAGCGCTAATAAAGATATCAGAGTCGCTGTAAAGATGACCCAATCTGCCTCATTCAAAACGAGATTGAAAACTTGTATATCACTCTGTGAAGCACACGCAGTTGTTGTTATTTACCACAAACTGTGTTGGACTGAACACGTGTTCCATGTTTTGCGAGACAGAAGCAACAGAAACAGTGCACACAAAGAGAGAAAGCTGCAAAGGGCTTGTCTGATTGAACTGATCAACCTCGTTGATGTGCAAACTCAGAGACAAGCTTACCTTTCAATGGATGACATCAAAACCATTTATGTCAATATGCTTGGTACAGGCGACTTGGAAAATCATTCTTCTGCATTCAGTGAACAGTAGCTGAAAGACAAGCTCCACACTGAGTTGCCAAATTTGGTGTCTATTTTATAAAAGAACTGAAGTAAATGAACTGACCCTTACTCACCAGCTGCATGTGTGAAAGACCTCGTTCATTCAGCTATCAAAAGTGAGAAGGTGATGACAACCAATATGAAGGCCATCTGCAAAGCAGCACAAATGATACGCAAGTGCATTGCTGAACTATACAACCTGACTCGATGGATCATGGTGTAACCTGTGAATGGCATGGAAACCGAAAAAAAAGATCAATGTTGACAACAGGACACTACTCACGGTGAGCAAAAACATCCTGAATGGATTTATGTCTCAAAGACAGTTGAAGAAAAAACCAAGCAGAGATTCTGCAACTTTCAAGCCACACCATTCAAGAGAAAACCCCCAAGTCCTGGGACTTGCTCTGACTGTTCACCATGGCACAAGAAACAAAGTATTAATGAGTCCTCTCAAAGCACAGGGTTACTGCCGTGGAAGATACCAGAATGTTCCAAGGCCTCTATGTGCCACCGTTCCTGAAGAAGGGAACCTGCGTGTTCTTTGCTGCAGACAACACAGACTTTGCCGAAGACATTGCTGATGGTAATGGAACCCACTGTAGTGTACCAGAAAATTGATGTTCCCGGAGAACCGATTGCTTGGATGGGTTGTCGCTTCTGTTTTGTCCATGATGAAAGGAAATTCCAGGTTTGGCAGGCTATAACTCCCTGTTGTCTGCAAGCCAGTCTATCACTCAAGTTGGAGCCATCCCATTACACCCAGTGGTGGCACATGAGTGATCGACCCTACTGTGAACGAATGTATGAAAGGCGGTGAAGATGAAGAAGTTGATGGGTCAGGCTCATCTATTTCGGTGCTTCCTCTTTTATGTCTACATTATTTGACATTGTGGCTCTCTCTTAAACTGTCTCCAATAGATGCTGATATGAGTCTATTCTTGGCTCTTCTTCACATCATCACACTAGCACAGAATACACAACTTCCAGTCCGTGGATTCCTGGGTTTGATGAGCCCCTTTACCAAGTTTGGGAATGTCACTAATGATGTACACGTACTAGAACCTGCAAAACCTGCATATAAAACAAAGGGAACCACTATAAATACACCCACCACCATTCCAACACCACAGTTTGGACACAGTTCATGTTTGTATGTGTTGTACACAATAATACCTTAAAAACTGTTTGCCGTAAGGCACAATGGCCTCATAAGAGGTTATAGTACATTATACCTGGTAGCATTGGATTCTTTGCCCCTGATTATGTATGTTTAGCAGTTAACATGAAGACCCTGGATGGTTTAGAAGCTGAAATAATGAGAAAAATGGCCGCCATACTACTTCTGGGAAAATGAAACCACTGGTTTCCCTCAAAAAATTATGTTTGAAAATCTCCAAATAATCTAAAAATAAACTAAAATTTTAACATAGTAAGCCGTACTAATTTGTAGATAGCGAAAACGGGGAGTAGAACACAAACAACCAGAGGAGGTAGAATATGAACACCTTAGAGGGAGTATAAACGAACACCAGGGAACAGAAAACGAACACCATATGAATCTACAGTATATGGAAATTTCGGTTTTTCCTGATTCGACTATGTACAGGTATATAAATTGTTGAATCTGATATTCCGATTCATATGGAGTTAATTTTACGGTCGTGATTTAGAGAAAACTTATGAGAGCTTTATTTTTATTCCATTTTTTGTCTTTATTTTAGTACTTCTTTATTATATTCCTAAATTGCTTTAACACGGGGAAGAATTTCGATAGATGAATTCCTTTGTTTCCGTTTTCCATTGCTCACCATTTTTTTTCTAATGTTAAAGGCGTTTGATTCCTAGTTACTTTTTTTAAGTTGGTAATACTTTCCAGTCTTTTATGTTAACGGTTATTTATTTGCAGCATTTTAATGTAGACAGGACTTAATTTTTAGCATTTTAAAATGCGTTATATTCACGTGCCATAATTTTAAAGAATTTTATTCTTATTTTATTATTTATTTGGGGATAGCCCACTCGGGCACAGGTCATCGACCCACAACGAGGCCTGGGGGGCGAAACAAAATATGAGTAAAAAGAAATTAAAAATATAAAAGAAAAATATTATATTAATCTACACCACGAAGATGCCGGTAAACCAGCTTTTAGAAGTGAGGCAGATTGTACGAGTATAGAAACACAGAAGAAGGCAGAGCATTCCACAGTTTGGCTGTGTGAGGAAAGAAGGATGTACTATAACGGGTTATTCTAGTGTTACGAGCCCACGGCCTTGCCGGCGGTACACAGGGAGGCCAATCCACCGATCAGTGCCCGTTAAAGTACGTGTAAAAGAGAGAGAGTGAAGCAAACATTGCAGGGAAGAGAAAGGGAAGCAAGATTATTTAATAAAGGAGGAGAGTTAATAAGGCTAAATGCCTTTAATGCCACCCTATCTAAGAGTTGGATAGAAGAGGAGCCACCCCAGATATGAGAGCAGAACTACAAGTTAGGACGAATGAATCCCTTATAAACTTGAAGTAACTGCTCAGGAGTGAAGAAGCTACAGCATCTGAACAGCATTCCCAGCATTCGGGATGCAGCTTTAGCAATGTTGTGGATGTATGGCTTCCATAACATATTAGAGGAAATGGTGAGGCCTAGCAAATCTATTTTAGATTTTGGAAGAATGATTGCGTTCTGAAATGTGATTGGTAAGAGATCATCTAATTTGAAAACTGAAATTCATAAATATTGAGTTTTATTACTGTTGAATTTAACCAAGCCTCACATCCCCATTAGGATATGTTGCACAGATCTGCATTGATAGATGAAATGATATCAGCTCTAGAAACAGATCTAGTTTGAGAATTAGGGGGAAGGGAAAAATGTGAAGAAGAGTGAAGAGTAGAATCATCAGCGTAAGAATGGATAGAATTAGTCCTAGTGTGAAGTAATAAGTGATAAAAAGAAGGAAGAGAGTTGGTGAAAGAACAGAACCATGTGGTACACCACTATTGGGAGAGGAAGAGTGAGAGATCGATCCCTCGACAACAACTGCCATGGATCGGTTCTCAAGGAAGCTAGAAATTAGAGAACAAAGTGGAGGAGAGAAGCCATAAGAGAGAAGTTTAGAAAACGAAGACTTGTGCCATACCCTGTGTAATAAGTTATGCTACACTTGTACACTTGAACCCATGACTTCTATGTAATTATGTGTGTTATTATGTTAAGTTTCTTATCTTCGTGTTTTGTTTTGTTTCGGGTTATATTATATTAGATTCTTTTGTTCTCTTCCAGATGCCATACTACACTTGGTCAGTAATATGAACAATAAAGCTTAGAAAAAGGTCGACTCTAGTCTTCTTTCACCACAATTTATTGTTCATAACTGAAACTGGGTCATGATGGAGAAGTTCTTGAGGCCGGAACGTTTGGATGCTACACTGGACTCTCCCACCGCTTCAAATGAGTGGCGCTACTAGTTCCGGACCTTCAACATGTTCCTCACCTGCATTTCTGCTCTCGCGCCCGACAAGCTCGCCACTCTCTGCAGCTTCGTCTCCCCATCTGTGTACGAATACATAGCCGACTGTGTAACGTACGATGCCGCCATCCTGGTTCTGCAAGACTTGTACATAAAGCCGAAGAACGAAGTGTTCTCCCGTCATCTACTAGCTACCAGGAGGCAACACTCGGGCGAGAGTTTGGACGAATATTTACAGGAACTTCGTCGGGTCAGCAAAGACTGCAACTTCAAAGTTGTCACAGCAACGGCGAACAGAGACGAGTATATCCGCGACGCTTTTATCAACGGTCTACTATCTTCTATGATCAGACAGCGACTCTTAGAAAGCAAGACTCTCGATTTGGCTACTGCGTTCGACCAGGCTCGCGCGCTCGATCTGGCTCAAATAAACTCCGAGTCCTATCTTCGTCTTAGGCTCGTATGAACGCTGCCGCTGTTACTTCACCTGAAAAATTGACAGCGATGACTCTCCCCTCTTAGCTGCCACTCAACAACCAAAGTGTTATTTCTGTGATGGAGCACGGCATAACCGACTTCAATGTCCTGCGCGTGATTCAACTTGCCACAAATGCAACAAGAAAGGCCATTTTGCGAAAGTAGCCAGATCATCTCATTACTCATCTGCTACTTCATCTTCCACTTGTGCGGTCTTACACTCTCCTACTTTGGCTGCAATATCTGCGACTTCCCCTGGCTGTCTCTTTCGATCTACCATATATGTGCTTGTTAATGACGATACAGCTACAAACCTCGTTGATACCGGGAGCTCAAAATCGTTTGTATCAAACCGCCATATCCAGTAGAAGTCTCTGAAGTGTCATCCAGGGTCAGGTCTGGCCTCATCTTCCCTATCATCGCCAGTACTAGGTCACTGTACTGCAGACATAACCCTCAAGGGGAAACTCTATCCAGATACTCGACTAACTGTTCTTCCCGACCTATGCAGTGACGTTATTCTTGGTCAAGATTTCATGAGCCCACATAGTGGTGTTACTATTGATGTCGGTGGACCTAAAGAGCACCTCATCGTAGGAGATAATACAGTTGCTTGTAGCCTAACATCTGCTTTGGTCGATCCACCATCTCTTTTCTCTAATCTGACCTCCCCCGGTAAACCTGTTTCGACGAAGTCAAGGTGAAGTCGATAAGATGTTGTCGGAAGGAATAATCGAACCCAGCACTTCACCGTGGAGGGCGCAAGTCTTCATCACTACTAATGAGCGGCACAAAAAGCTGCTTGTTGTCGACTACAGCCAAACCATCAACAAGTATACCCAGCTGGATGCTTATCCCTTGCCTCGGATAGACGACTTGGTGACTAGCCTATCTCGTTACAAGATATTCAGCACTCTCCACCTAAAGAGTGCGTACCATCAAATCCCTATACGGGAGTCAGACAAGCCATTCACTGCCTTTGAGGCGAACGGTAAATTGTACCAGTTCCGCAGGGTCCCATTCGGAGTGACGAACGGCGTGGCTTGTTTCCAACGATGAATTCATAAGTAGAAACGAACTGCTTGGTACTTTCTCGTACACTGACAACATCACCATCGCCGGTTCGTCTCAACAGGAGCACGATGAAAATCTGTCCAGATTCCTTGAGGCAGCAATGAAGTCAAAATTCTCCTTCAATGACGACAAACCTGTCTTCTCAACAACGTCGATTGATTTGTTGGGCTACACCATATCGCATGGTACTCTCTTTTTTTCTTTTTTTTTTTTAGGTTAAGGTGGGGAAAGGACGGAAGGCATGCTGGGGCTCAAGGCACAGCCAGACATGAGGGATGGAGAAGTCACAACATATAGTCGTGGGGGGAAAGGTTGGAAAAGAAGTTTAATGAGTTAAACAGAGGGGGACGACACACCTTGTTTTACATATTACAGAGTTTGTTGCCTAACTAAGCTAACCTAGGATTTAGGATGAGGTTGCACAATGGTTATTTTAGTAAACAATGACTAGATTTATTTTACAATTACAAGTTTATTAAAATCTTATACTGTATTACGTTATAGACTCACTAGATTGTGACTTGTTAAATGTGAATTTATATCATCTAAGTTTTAATCTAAAGTGGATCACTGTGGCGGACATAGATGGGTCGCGGGTTGGGTTGTTGTAGTGCGGGCAGACTCCGGGGCCACTAGGCGTGGGGTCTCCCTCCGTTGATGTCTTCCCCGCGTAGGTGGTCTGGGCTGTGAGGGTCGTCCAGGAGCTTGTCCCAAACCTTCTTCCCTAGGCGATGGAACCTGAAGTTGAGGGCCTCTGTTTTATTTCTTAGGTGGATGGTTTCCACTGTCTCCTGGTAGGATGGCGCTTGGCCACTGGCTGACCTCAAACACTTGTTTTGGAAGCTCTGTAGTTGTTGTAGTCTAGTCTTCCCGAGTGTGACGAGTGGTATAGATGGGTACTCCAACACAGGCCTCACCAGCGCCTTGTACAGGTGAACTTGTATCTTCTCAGGCATCAGTTTAAAACGTTTTAATTTGGCTGCGGCGACTTTGGCTTTATTTAGTCTGTCCTTCACGTGGGGAATGATGCCCATCCGAGAAATGATGAGGCCGAGCAACCTGCCTTGCTTAGAGTACTCAATCTCTTCATCGTCGATCATCAATGGGGCCGACTTGAATTTGGCTATGGGCATGACCTCAAATTTCGTTTTGTTTGTTTTTATTTTCCATTTATTTTCATACTCCGAGATATCCTCTATTGCCCGAGCAGTGAGTCGCGCCATCCTTGCTGTGGACCTTCCTGGGCAGGTGACGATCTGTGTTACATTGTCGGCATACATGACGTACTCGCTGCCGACGATTGGGGTGGCAGGTCAGCCGTGTAGAGTGTGTAAAGGGTTGGTGAGAGACAAGAGCCCTGAGGCACGCCGCTCGATAGTGAGAATTCTTCTCCAAAATGTTCTTGCATCTTGATTTTGGCTCTGCGGTCCATAATGAAGTTGCACAGCAGGCGCGTCAGATTTTCGGGTAGCCCCAGTTGTATGATCTTATATTGCAGCCCTGCGTGCCAAACTTTGTCAAACGTCTTGCTGACGTCCCTCAGTACTACATTGCACTGCAGGCGGCCAGCATTGGCGATCTGCTCGTAGGCCTGAGCTATGGCGGTGGATGTGCCTCGGTACTGGCGGAAGCAGAACTGGCGGGGATTATGCACGTCTTCGTCTTCCAGATACATCCGCAATCGCTTGTTGACTATTTTTTCGAAGATTTTGGCAGGTACCTCTAGCAGCGATATTGGTCGAAAGTTTTCGACTTTGTTTGGAGGCTTCACTGCTTTTGGTATGAGGCGAATAACGGCGATTTTGAACATCTTAGGGAAGTATCCAGAGGCGAGGCAGGCGTTGCATATGTGAGCAAGCCTCTCTATCATGTTGTCGGGGAGTTGAGCCAGGATCTTCTTGTTAATGTGACTTTGGCCAGCTGATTTGTTTTTAAACCCTTTTATGACGGCTGACAAATCTGCAGGAACTATGCGCTTCGTCAGGTAGATTCCGTCCACCAGTCTAGTGAAGTCAGTCCGTGGGTGCGGCTGGAGCAGGTGCTGATGGTCCTGCAACTGACCTAAAATGACCTCCTCAAACTCCCTGTCGAAGCCCTCGTTCTCCTGTTCACTAATGGTAAAGATCTTTCGTAAATATCGCCGATGTAGTTGTTCTTGGTTTTCTTCCTCGAATATTTTCACGTTGTTTTGGCCGAGCAGGTAAGGGACCGTGCTAGAGGTGGAACCCGTCAGTCGCTTGAACCCTTTCCAGAATGCAGCAGAATCGCAGTAATTGTTGGCTGCCTCCCACACCAAGGCGGCCCACTTTTGTTCATGTAGACGTTTGCTCTCGTGCTGGATGTCCGTCTGTAGCTCTCGGTACCGGTCTCTCAGCTCTTGCGTCCACCCGCGGATACTAGCTAGCTGTCTCACGTGAGCGTACTGGACACTGAGCTGCCTCAGCTGATGACTAGTGTGAGGGTGGGGAATGGTCCTGTAACTGGTGGTCGGGATGTTGTTGTCCATCTCCGTCTTCACATCCGTATACCATTGCTCGACCGCGTCGTCGATGTCATTGGGGCTGGCTTCTTCCAGGTTTCTCCCCTGCTTGAGACTGAGAGACTCCTTGAAGGAATCCCAGTCTGCCCGTTTGAGGTTTGACCTGGTGTTGGCAGGAATTATAATGGGATTGGATGAGAGCGTCACGACGACTGGCAGGTGATCGCTGGTACTGATGGGTCCGGCGGTAACGTGCCTGTTCAGGACGGCCTTGTTGTTAGAGAGGATTATGTCGGGTGCTGTGGCACTGGCACGTCTGATCAATGTCGGGAAATCTGGCCCGAGGTGTTGCAGTTTTCCCCTTCTGGTGTTGTCATACAGCGCCACACCGACGTTGTTCTCATTACCGTGTCCTAGTATGGCGTGGAGCGCATTTAAGTCCCCTATGATGTACGTTGGTTTTCTGTGGCGTAGCAACTGGTTTAGGTCTTGTTCGGGTAAGTAAGGACGTCTGGGAGGTAGGTACATTGTGCATATGATAACAGGTCCCCTAGCTGTCTCCACCTGCACTCCCAGAACTGAATCCTCGAAGTCTGGCAACACTCTGTGACTCAGCCGTGACCTGATGGCCACAGCGACACCATCGTTCAGCTCACCCGTCATGTTCCTCTGGTATACAGTGTAGCCAAAAATTTTCAGCTTACTTTCGTCCTTTATGCCAGTACTGTTTAACAGAATGATGTCTGGGTCTAATTGATAGTATAAGTTAGACAGTTCGTTACGTCTATTAAGGGACCAGTGTAGGACATTATGTTGGACAATTTTCATCCTGCTAACGACTGCCATTTCGGAGATTGTAGCTTGGGGCGTCGCTTGGAGTGTTTGCTCGGCTTCTGCCATTGCTAGGGGGACGGAACTTCTTAGTAGAACCTTCGGACATCTGCTTGTCAGTCAATGGCGAGCCCTCGAACTTCTCGTCACCCGTGTACAGGAAGGTGTTCAGGTCCTGGGCCTGCGTGTCGTAGTAATCAACTGACGCTGCAGCTCGAGGGTCTTGTTCCTCTGTGGAGTGAGTCGTCATCATCTGGTCGCAACCAATGACGGTTGCAGTCTGATGGTCACTGTCGTCGCTGGGAGTGCATGTAATGGGATCGCGGGCATTTACGGTGTCGTTGGAGCTGTGATCCCAGGGGGACTGGCTGGCCACGTCGGGATTGCGGTTATACTGACTTTTGCCTAAGTCAAGGAGGTCATGGTCTATTTCTGGCGTGGGTTGAGGTCGTCGATAAGTCGTTGAGTGGGTTACTGAATTAAGGATTTCTTTTGAAGGGACTTTGTCGCTTATTTCAAGAGGTGCAAAGTTTTTCCTGGTTAGTGTCTCGTTGAGGTGTTTCGAGAATGAACCTGGAAGAACCATGTTCATGTGATGGGCATGC